TGATCAGTAGATCACATTTGTCATCATCTTAAAATGCCTGCTACCCCAAAACTTCCTCTGTGCAGAAGCACTTTATAACACAACCAAAGTGGGCCCCAATACATTTTGTTTTCTTTGCTCACATGTCTCAACGTCAAACTAGCTCTATTCCTTTATTCACTTTTCTGCCTTGCTTACATATACAGCGATTGGAGAAAGTTTTATCATCAAGGGGGCAGGGGTGCAAGGAAACTCTCTTGTCCTCATCACCTGATCTCCCTGCATTATAGCACCCCAGCTCTTTACTCCTTACCTGGCTCCAACAGAAAAGAACCAGAAGCCCTTTTGGAGGGTAGGGCTATTGATGGCGGCTGGTCTATACATTACTCCCCTGTCAGAAGCAGTAAGTCCTCAATTAGCAGCTGCTGCAGGGCAAGAGCTTATCTTCATGTCCTGCCCATGAGCTTTCCATTGGCATCTTGTCAGCTGAGGTGGAAAGGAGTTTCCCAAAAGTAAGTATGGGCATGCAGGGCTATTGCATCGAAACCAACAAAAACTCTTGTGGCTTCTTAAAGACTAACAAAGGTAATTGAAGCTGACGAATATATATTAGTATGGGCTGGGATTAATTCCCTTTTTTGACACCCCCTTTCAGATTGAGATAATTAGGCACCCCGTCATGAGGGGACACAAACATGCATTTAACAAAGGGACTGCTCTTAAAGTGCCCAGTTTGACCTTGAGGTGCCCAGTGTGGCACTAGATTGTGCTAGACTGAGATTCAAAAAGTCCATGGGTCTGATCCTCACTCTGTGCCATGGAGTGCCATGGAGTTCACTGAGTGACTTTGGGCCAGTCATTGATTCTTAGCCCAACCTAAGATAAAGTTGTGAGGATAAAACACAAAATAAGATAATCATGAATACTCTTGTGGGCTCCTTGAAGGAAAGGCAATAATAAATCAATGTAAATGTATTTATTATATTAAAAAGAAAAATGTTTGCTGAATTCAGTGAATAGGAGAAAGATAGCCTTGCTTGCCCCAGAGGTGGGAACAGGGAGAGAAACTACTGTGCTGGTGAAACCCCATCTTGGGTTTTTGGGGGGGCAGGGGGTTGGTCATGATTTCTTACAAATTAGCAAATGGTTGTTAGAACCGATTTCAGCTTCCCAGCCTGGTGCCTCTCCATGGCCAATGGCCTGTAGTCAGACACATCTACAAGGAAAACAGGAGTTTAGGTTAAATAGCTTGCCTTTGTCTGACCCAGTAACTGAATTGTGTATCTCTCTCCCACATACTTTCTCTGGTTGTCTGTTGCCATCCTGGCTGCAGCACTGAATCAGGGTACCTCACCATTAGGAAATATATATTATACTGATGCATAAGGAATAACTCCTTGTGAACCAACATACTTTGCCAATTCAAGTGAAGGTGTCTTTGGGGTATGTGCAAGTATAAGTATAAAAATACATTCATTTAGCAAATTCGGACACACCCTGTATTACAGAAGCATGACATTCAAAGGGCATTCAAGGTGACTATGGAGTAAATTATTAAAAATACAACATCATCATCATCATTATTATTATTATTAGAACATTTCTATGCCACTCCTTGCCGAAGCCTCGGAGCAGCTTACAACACAATAAATTACAATACAATACAAAAATAACAATATAAAATTAAAATTAATAATATAAAATAAATAAAACATATAAACGATATAAAAGAAGTTAGAAAAGTTATAAAAGAAAAGAAAAGAAGTCGCCCTGGCCAGATAAATAAGTATATATTGTTAACAATTAAAATGACGTTTAAATAAAAAGGTCTTCACCTGGCGCCGAAAAACAAATAACGACGGCGCCAGGCAGACCTCTCTGGGGAGCACATTCCATAGATTGGGCGCCACCGCAGAGAAAGCCCTCCTCCGAGTACCTACCCTCCTAATTTCTTTCACGGAGGGTTCCCGGAGAAGGGCCTCTCCCGCAGATCTCAAGGCGCAGGCAGGCATGTATGGATGTAAGCGCTCCTTCAGGTAACCAGGTCCCAAGCCATTTAGGGCTTTATAGGTCATAACCAACACCTTGAATTGGGCCCGGGCTTCAATGGGAAGCCAGTGAAGCTGACGGAGGACTGGAGTCATGTGAACATAACACCCCGTCCCTGTCAGCAACCTGGCAGCTCTATTTTGAACCAATTGAAGTATCCGGACCGTCTTCAAGGGAAGCCCCACGTAAAGTGCGTTACAGAAGTCAAGGCGGGAAGTCACCAACGCGTGTGTCACTGTCGCCTGGCAGTCGTTCTCCAACTGGGACTCAGCTGATGGATCAGACAAAGCTGAAAGAAAGCGCTCCTCGCCACCGCTGTCACCTGACCTCCCAATGAAAGCTCCGGGTCGAGGAGTACTCCTAAGCTGTGGACCTTGTCCCTAAGAGGGAGTGCAACCCCATTCAGGGCCAGGTCAAATCCACCCTCTCCGAAGCTCGATCCGCCAACCAACAGGACTTCCGTCTTGTCTGGATTGACATGTCCCCAGCTGACTTGTTGGGCACTAGATTTTCTTAGAAAATGCCTTATTTCTTAAGATGTCAACTTGGTTTGCACCAGTGTTTTGTCTGTAAGCTGTTTCCTCCACCATGGTCACTTGGGGACAATATTTGATGAAAGAGTGCCTAAGGGCAGAACAACGCCTTACCTGTAGTTCCCTGGTTCTGTTGCAGACTTTTTGTTTTCTTTCACAAAATGTAATTGCAGAAGCTGCTGTTTGACATGAAGTGCACACACGTAATGATTTCTAAACCTTCCCCCTTGCTCTTTTTGCACTGCTGACAGCTTCTCTTAGACCTGCCACAGGACATACTAGTAATCATAATATCTCCTCTGCAAAGATAAATGTAGCTTGAAAGGAGGCAATTTTCTGTTGAAAATGGGGATGCCATGCGGCTTTAGCACCATTTGTCGGCTCTTCACCATCCAGAGGAAAGAGGAGTCTCAGCTGTAGGTCAGCTGCCTGCCAATGGTGAGGATGGCCACTCCCAAATTTCCAAAAAAGGAAGAGATGTTTCCCCAAAAAGGAAGACCAAAAAGGACAGTGTGCATATGCTGATCTATATGTAAGAAGCAAGTTTGAAAATGGATATTTTTATTTGAATGGACATACCATATGCCCACCTGTTCCCTTTGCATCCCAAATGTTAGTGGCTGATAGGTAATGGTTTGTATGGGCCTTTCTCTTAAACTCAGCGTCCACCCCTGGCTTATAAATCACCCTGGCTTATTGTGTTGTGTGAACCCAGTCAGTGAAAACACATGTGTATTCATGTGCTGTTCCTTCCTTCTTGTTCCCCTTGGCAGAATGTTTCTGGTAAGTATAGATGATGCCCTCCTTGGATTTAGCCCCGATCACATTCTAAAAGTATAAAAGTAGCACTAGTGAATGTTGTGATGCTACATTTAAGAATTAGGTTTTGAAGAACTATTTTATTTAGCACTCCACTTTACATACTTTGCTTTTTGCATCCCTGTTCACAGCAGATTTTGTCTTTCTTTTGCTGTGCACTCACAAACAATTCAGAGAGACAAACCCTTGCTTGCCACCAACTGTACATAACTGGGGTTGCAGCCAATCAGATTCCCTGATAATCCTGCCTATGCAAGATGCATGTTTGTGGCATTCACACATCACTTTTTAGGAACTGGCCTGAAAGCCATTGTCCTTGAACAAAGGAACTTCAAAGGGAGATCTAGTGTGAAACCTCTGAATTAAAACTTACCAAACATTCAGTTCTGTTATCTGCAACCTGAATCAATGTTTCTCCTGTTCCTTTGTTAATTGGCTTACCAATTCCAAGAAGTTTATATCATTTTATTTACTTATTTATTTAAAGTTTTTCCATGCCATTACTAAAAAAGTCTCTGGACAGCTTCAAAAAGTCTCTGGACAGCTTATCATGATGAATACTACATTGTAAACACTCACTGTAATTATTACTTTAGATATATTTAAGTTTTAAAATCATCATCACAGGCTATTTTTTCCATTGTTTTGTATTCCCTCTGCCCTCATTGCTACATTTTCCTCTCACTGGATCCATGGGTGTACTCCTCTGATGGGTGAATCCATCATAGTAGGCCAAATCTTATTCCATAAAAAAGGACCCAGTGTGATGTTAAAGAGTTCAGAACTGGAACTCATGAGATGTGTGTTCTAGTTCCCACTCAGCCAAAGAACTGAGTTTGCTTTGAGTCCACACTCCAACTCATGCTCCAACCAACCTACCTCACTTGGTTGTTGTGAGGATGCAAAGGAGAGGAGGAGACTTATGAAAGCCACCTTGAGTTCCTTGGAAGGAAAAAGGGATATAAATGTAATAAATAAAAATAAAAATGCATTTCAGTCTTGAAGGTACTGCAACTCTTGTTTTTCCTGCGAAACTGTCACAGGTATCCTTCTGTAAACTGAAAACATGCTAGGTGTGCACCTGAAGATGGAACGCCTTTTAAATTTGGCATCGTCGTCCCCACGCCCCCTCCATGCTTTACGGACCTTTTCCCTGATAAGCAGCTACCGAGGGCCTAAAGAGCGAATGCTCGCTTCTCCATTTGCTCCCCAGCGCTCCCAGCAAAGCCCCATCGCGCTGTGCCTGAAGTTACAATCAGGACGTTTGGTTGCGGGGAGGGGGGTAGCAAAGCAGCTACGCGCGGACGGGCGGAAGGAGGCCTTGCTCGCTGCTAACGAGCGCCATGGACGCCTTTGCGTGAACATCCAAGCGAGCTTTCCCAGTGATCTCCCGAAAGAACAGAAAGAACGAGAGTCCCTCATGAAGATCGGTTGTAGCTGACCACGGGGCGGGCTTGCCGGGGAGGCGCGGAGAGCTCTGAGGGGGGAGGGGGGAGAGACACCGCAGCCAATGAGAAGGCCAAGGCCCTCTCCAAAGGGTTAACGGGCAGCCAATGGGAGCAACGCGGAGCGGATCCCACACGCTCCATTCAAGAATCCCAAGTATTCAAGATGGACGGAAGGGAATGCGGAGAGGAGAAGCGGGAGCCGCTTACATTGCGCGCCACTTTCATGCCTGGGAAAAGGGGGAGCCCCCCACCCCGCAAGTGTTAACCTCTGCCACTGGGGCAGGCGACAGACGAGGAGAAGCAAACGAGCTGCTGAAAGGGTAAAGATGTCCAGCGACTCGCTCCTAGGCACGAGGGGGCTCCTCAGCACCACGACCAACACACACCATTTCCCTTTCACGCGCGTCGTGCTTCAAGCGCGGGGTGGGCTGTGCGGAGGGTGGAAGCTCTTGCTGGATCTGGGGCGAGTGGGGATGGTGGGAGAGGGCGTCAAGAGCGCTGCTGGAGACAGCAGGAGACGGAGGGCTCCTGGAAGCTTCGCGGCTCTTTAACCTCTCTTGCCCGCTCCCCTATCGCCCGCCAGCTCAGTGCAATCCCGCCGGGGGCGACACTTCTTCGGTTGTGGTGTGAAGAATGGCCGAAAAGCAAAGAGAAATAGGGGAGGTGGGTTACGCCGTCCCGTATCCGACACTTCCTTGCCCTCGGCTGCGGAACAGGAGTAGCGCCCCGAAGAGCCCCGTGGGCAAGTCTTGGCAGGGCCTCTTACCTCAGCGGCTTGGGTTTGGGGAAAGATGGCAGGTGGGTCATGGAGCCCGAGGATCCGTGAGGCTGAGTGATGCCTTGAGCGCATTCAGGCTTCCACCCCAGTAGCGTTCCCAGGCTACAGCCAGAGTTCTACGAAACACCAAAAGCACCATTGAACCCCTTTCCCTTCTATACTTGCTCATGTGTGAATGCTGAAGCAGGACGAATTTTAAAACTGGATGCATGTTCCAGCTAGCATGTTCTCTCTGTCTCTCTCTCTCTCCCCCCCCGTGTGTGTGTTGTGTACCCCAAGTATGGGAAATGCAAAGGGTGCTTGGATATGTTCACAGCTGGGGTAGGGTGAGGCAATCTTGTGTGCCCTCATTCAGCTGAATCCAACAAGTGTTGTCTTTCAAGATAATGGGGACTCATGGACAGCGTGGCACAGCCCGACATGCAGAAAGCAGTGCACAAAATCCAGAACTGCCATGTGTTCTTTTGTCAAGCACTGCTTTGTGATGTATCGCTTCCATGCCAAGCCAGCATCATAGAAAGCTCCTGTGTAGACATGACCCTGGCCAGAATACTGAATGGAGAAACAGCCTTTGGGAACACATTCATGTGTAAAGGCTTTGCAGGATTTCTAACTCAGGCTTTAGTTACCAAGAAGTATTGTGTACTCTGAGACAAAAGGCTGTATGGAGTGCTTATAAAAGAATACTTCTCCAGTCATCAAGCAGCCAAATATTGGAGGACTTCTCCAACCCCCAAATTTTCTTTAGTCTTCACAGTTTACATTTTGTCCCTTTGAAAATTCCAGTTTTTGTAGCACCAAGCCTAGTATTTCCACACCAAGGCCTAGCAACTACATACACCTAAAGAAGATGTTGTGCATCATTGCATCAGAAAGGAAAGATGGAACTAGATCAAGGCACAGTGTTTAAGTACAGCCTAGTTCTCATGATCAGAGCCCCTTTAAACTCAATTGTACACAGCCACTCAGAAATTGCTAGGCTTTGGATATGCTCTAAGCTTCACCTTCAGGTTGCTCAGTGGTTATTAACATTTTGATTTCAACAATTGGCAACCCTGTATAGAAATACAAGGTTTATAAATGCTTAGCCTTGCAATATGTATGTTGTTATTGCAAGGCCAAGCATCTGTATGCCAGAAAGGTGAAAGCTACTTGTGAGGGGGCAGTAATTATTACATGACTTATTTGAAAATTGTTCTCCATTAGATATCATGCTCTGATGTTGAAGGAACTTCTCAGAGAAAGTACGTTTTTATGAGTGTATCCTATTGGTACAGCCTTGAAGGAATCCTACGTCCTAAGGTATATTGCTCTTTCAGAAGTAAAACGAAAAGCTGGAGGGCCAATGTATATGAGGGAAAAAGACCTCGATCAGGTGCACAAGTGCAAGCCATCTCCTGTAGCGCATACACACAAGCCCATTTTGAAGGAGTGGGGAATCTCTGTTTTATGGGAATGAGATGGAATCTGTGGGAAGTCCAGAAATATTATGAGGTTAGAAATGTTAGTGATACTCTAAATATCTTCCAGATGGTAGCCATGTCACTCTATTGCTGTGAAAATAAGAGTCTTGTGGTTTCTTAAAGACTAACATTTATTCTGGCACATTTTTTGTGGACTGTACCAGAATAAATTTGTTCATCTTGAATGTGTCACAAGACTCTTTGTTGCTGTTTCTGAATATCTTGTGCTGTGTGGGCACAATTCTGTAGCTGTTAGATGGTGTCTCAAAGGCCATAGGATAGGTCAGAGTCCTAGGCTCACCTTGGAAATGTGTTTTCGGGTCAGAGCCAGGACTTCAACCATGGAGTGCCCTCCCTCTGCCCTTGCAGCTGGAGCAGTTGTTTTCTTTGCTGGCTGTAGCCCCAAAGTTACAAGTGTGAGTTCAGAGTCAGCATTGGGGGCAGGGAGGAGAGGAGTGAGGTTCCACTGGGATCCAAGGCATTCTGGTGGTACCTCTACCCCTCCTTCTCAGGGACAAGAGACATAAGACATGGCTGAAGTTAACCCTCTGTCTTTTGCAGGGTGGGAGAAACATGGAGGCAATCCTTGCCTTTGTGTTCAACTGGATGCCCATAAAGTTCAGAGGGTTACAGGCAGCCACATTGGAAGGCACTCTATCAGTCTTAGTTTTCTCACAGTGCCTACAACTAATTGCCATGTTCTTTCCCTCTATGGCACGTACAGCTTAATTAGCTTGAAATATAACTCTATAACAATATTAACTTGGTCTTTAAAGTATCAGGATTTAGTAGTTTGAAATGAAAACATGATTAGCTAGTGGCATTTCTCCTGATCAAGTGACCTTTTACTTCCCACCATGGGGGGATTGCATGCATGGAACAGCTATTCCATATTCCATAGCCAGATGGGGCCACCTGTGTGTCCTGGGAAATTCACAGCATCCTTCACAGATTGGAGGAAATTATGATTGTGAAGAGACCAGTCAAGCAGCCTACTACATTTGATCTTGGCAATGTTGCACAAAAGTGAATGGCAGTGCACTTCTCAACTCCAATGTAAATGACTTCTCGCCTCCAGTCAGCAGACTTGATCTTCACATGCCCTTTCAATCTGATGGCTGTCACTGAACTGGGGCCTTCATAAGTAGTCAGAAGTTGAGATATTTCAGTTATTTCTACCAACTGCTGAAGTTATGCAGATTTATTGAAATAGAAAGCCTTGCTCTAGCAATCAAGCAGACTGTTCACTTGTAGAATATAATAACTGTTACTTACTGGTTCTCCCTTCCCCCATTTTTATATTGATAGTGCGAGCTGTGTGTGAAAAGAGGGATACAATTATAAATGCGATTGCAGCTCACTTTTGTCTAGCTTTCACTTCACACTCCAAGCTAGAAAACTGTTTCTTCCTTCCTTCATTTCAGAAGTATGTTGTCATCTCTCGATTCCATTTGCTTTGTATCTGGTCACAGGGTTCAGTTCCATTGGTAGGTAAATGACCTATTGATCAGAGCATCCTTTTGCACCCAGACCTAAAGTCCTTGCACTAAACAGTCTGTCATTCTCTCCCTCCCTTGCCATGATGCTATTCCTAGCTAAGCCATCTAAGAGACTGAGGAAACTCTTGGTTAACTCCTCTACCTGCTTTCATTTTTACTGGTGGACTGTAGACTGGTGTTCTTTTTCATGTCTCCCTCTATTAGTTAACAAGGCTTTAGTTCTGAGGAAAGTTCTGTCCTATGTTACAGTTTTTCTACCTGGTGTTTACAGGAATCAAACTCCAAGGTCTTGTGCTGTGACATAACTGTGGGGCTTTTGGTTAAGGTAGTGGTGTGAAAGATGCCCAACCTCAACTGGCTGCACTCACTGCTTTGGGAAATCGGCTTTCCATGCCTGCCGTTCTGTTTGCCACCCTGACCTTTATTATCTATTTACTTTTGGGTTTTGCTGGACAGGGAATGCCTTTTACCCTGAGTTTCAGCAGTGTTTACAACAAAACCTCTAGCCATTATATCAGGCTAGAATAATTTCACCTATGATCAGTATTTGGAGCATACATAGTGAATTCCACAGGCTCAAGGGAATATGTGGTCAAGTATTTCTTTCACTCATGAGGCTTGTAAGCTCACAGTCAAACAGATAGTGCAGCAGTTGATATAAAATACTGGATGCTTTACTATGGCAAGGCCTTCTTATGTTCCAGACTACACTAACATAGAGGCATACATAATTCTACACAGTGGTAATCTGAATTTGGAAATCAGCAAATTCTGCATGGCACCCCAGTCTGGCCCATACAGTCTCTTGGGATTCCTCCAGGTAGCAGGGCAAGTCCCATCCCCACAGAGGGCGTCCTCCTAGCCCCACTGCTAGAAACTCTTAGTGATATATTATGTGATCCACTTATAGCCCTGATCAAGGCCTCTGAACTGGAATGCATGTCTCACTGGCAAGGGCATCAATACACAGAAAGTACAGCATGGGACCCAGGCAATGAGGAAATATGAATGGTTGACTCAGGAATGATCCATAAATGGAAGAAGGCTCCCATGTCTTGGACAATAGCATTGGTGAATGGGTGCATACACTAGTAGACTTGGCTTAGGGGAAAACGGGTGCCTGTCCCTGGCTCTGCTCCTGACCTGCTGGATGATTCTGAGTGTAATGCCACATTCTTTCCTGCATTTACTTGAGATGGGAGATTGTTGTTGTTGTTGTTAGTTGCGAAGTTGTGTCTGACCCATTGCGACTCCATGGACAACCATCCCTTTCTATTCGTATGAGCGACTAGATGCAGAACCAGAAGTGGTATGTGAGAGATAACTGATAAAGCTATGAACTTAAAATCCTGGGGGAAAAGTGAAGATGTTAAGCCTATTACCCTAATACCTGCTGAATATTTTAAATTGTGGCTTAATTCCATCTTGATGCAGAATATTCTTCTGTGATAGCTGGGCATTAAAAGAATGCAGTGGCAGAAGATTTCATGATGAGAGATAAAAGTTAAGCCCTGCTTTCTGGATCTAGCTGTTTGCTTAGTTTCTGAGCAAGAGAGATACTGTACTTATGCCAGAACCAAAGCTGTTCTAATCGAGGTACTGGTGCATGGTAATTCATATTAATCTAGGGATGTTTTAGCAAAATAAAAATGGAACAGGGGTCTCCTAAATCATCTATGCCATTCTAGCACAGCCTCAGCAGTCCAGTCTCCTATCCAACAGAAGATGTAGAGTTGGTCTGTGCCATGCCAGAAGCAAGCTGTATGGTAGAGACAAGTAATTTCATCTTCCTTTTCCCCCCTGCCCTTTCTTTTTTTTCCTTAGGGGGAATTCCTGAGCAATCATCTAGAAACTTAAAATTGGATGCTTCTGCTGGTTGAAGACAAAAGAGGATGATTGACTTGATTTGTGCATTACTGCATCCCAACACCCCACAGAGGACGTTTGAAAGAAAGCATACTGATAAAAGAGTTAGATAAATCCCAGCAGGATCCTTCTCGCCTCCCGTGAGATGGTGGTTCTCTTGTTCCAGCGGAGAGAGTGAAGGCCGTTCTGATGCACTGGGCATGGCCCCTGTCCGAGGCTCTTTTCACATTGTGCTACTGTCTAACCCCAACCCAAGCAGTGCAATGTTAAAAGGGCATTGGGTGGGCGGCCACAGCAGCGCAGAACCTCTCTACCTCTATTGGCAAAGCTCAAGGAGTAGCATAGAGCTTTCCTATGCGAGACAGAAGGGATGTGTTATGGGGGAAAGGATTGTCCTGTCCTGCCCCACCCTGGTAGCAAAAGGTGGGCTCCTGTGACACCTGAGGCAGCACATGCATCCCATCCCTTACATGGGCCTGTTCAGGGTTGGCTGCTAGCCTGGAATGGGTCACACGCCAATGTGGCGTGGAGGCCAGTTCATTCCTTGCAAGTCAGCTTTTAACACGTGTATTTCTGAGGCAGCTGCAACAACCTGCCACCACATGCTTTCTTGGTCACTGGGTGCATGTTCTGTCTTCATAATGCTTGGCTGATTGCTGGTAAAAGCTAAAGTCTGCGGGAAGAAAACTGATTCTTTTTAGATGTGGAAGAGAAAATATGGGTAACTGTGCTGGCAGCTTACTTGGCTCATAGTAATTTTGCATATATAGTGTCCCCAGCTATAAATGGAGAGAAACATGTTGGTTGGTATTTCATTGTATACTCAGTTTTCCAAATTCTTGTCCAGATAGTGCTACTGTTTGCTTTAAAATGTTACAGTGGCCTTAAAGTGCAAGCAGTGAGCCATCAAGCTTTTTGTCTTCTATACTTGATTGCAAGCCGTCCTCTTGTTATGTTTGACCAGCAAATATGTGAACAGAATGGACAGTTTTGCGCAGAAGCTAGCCAAGGAAGCCAGGATGACAGAAGCCATTGGTACTATGGCTTTCTTCTTTTTTAAATATAAAACACCTTTATTATACAAAAAAAGTCCTGCGCTGGTGACAGTGCTGAGGCTTTGCCCCCAGCAGACCTCCCACCCTTTCTTCATCTGGTGGGGGGGTTGTGGGGGATCATAGTGCCCAGGGATCACAAGCACATGGCGACCCAAACAAAGAAACAGACTCCATAGAATAAACATGGGGAAAATACCACGGCAGTGACTGGGAAAGGGAATAGTGAAGGGCGACGTGAACTACCATGGCCCCATGTGGAGAGGGACTGCTCCTCTGTCCCCTACCTCCAGGAAACCTTTTGTCTCATACGAGGAGGGGCGTACCCTCCCTCCAGCCTTCTCTGTTCAACTCTGATAGGCTGACGCCCTCGCTTTAATTCTTGCCAGAAAGGAGAGGTGCATGAGAAGTTTCCCTTATTCTGGACTGGACCAGTCCGTCCAGCTCAGCACTAAGCAATTGACCAGCAGCCTCTGGTGGGGGTTCCTGGCAGCCCAGCTACATAAGGCTCTTCAGTAAACTGGAGCTGCCAGGGACTGGACCTGGGACTTCCGCAGGCAAAGCGTGTGCTCTGCTGTGAGTGATGGCCACTCCCCAAGAGCTTGCCCTGTGCCCATTCCAGAGAGGCGTGTGTCTGTCTTACATGAGGGACTGCAAAGTTCAAACCCACTTCCAGGCTCGCAGTTCTGGGTGCTACCCAGCCGGTGCTCGCAGTGGGAGCAGCATCCCTCGCAGGTACAGATCAAGTAGAATCCAATCCAAAATTCTCCCTCACTGGCCCCTGAACCCTACAAGCTTCCCCTTCTGCTGTCGGGGCAGGGCAGGGTCCTCCAAACTTTGAATCCAGCATTTCAGAAAGTCCAAGAGGTTTGGGAGAAGGGTCCTGGTATATCCACTCCCACGGGTGATGCTGTGAGACAGGGGTGAGAGGGCTGGGTTGGTTGTGCTGGGATGCCAGCTGCAGTAGTGGGGTTAGGAGAGGGCAAGGCATGCTACGCAGGAGGTTGTGCACCTAGAGGCCCCCCTCAGTCCCAGCCGTTGTCCTTCACCATATGTGACATCTCAATAATGTACTTCCCTTCTTTGTACTTCTGGCTGGTCTCGAACGCTTGTTCCTGGCAAATGAGGAAATTGGAAGAGATGAGCCCACTCACTTCAGGCACCTGCCTAGCCTCCCTCCATAGAGCCTATGGCACTCAGATGCAGATAGATTTTTGAAAGGCAGGGAGCGGTGTGCAAAGCAAAAGCATCAACTATTGCAACGGGGGGGGGGGGGGGGGGGGGATTGCCATTTCCATGGGGACACAGGCACCTATAATCCCCTTGTGCCATGGTTTTAAAAAGGGTGTTGTTTACCACATAAGGGTAGCATGTAACCGGGCAGCATCGCGGAAACAGGTTCTCCATAGCTGGGTAGTTTTGGCTCTTTCCAGCAAGGGTGTTTGCACGAACTTGTTTGGAGGGGGATTTAGTGTTTACTCTTATTATGTACCTAGATTCAATACTCACATATTTCCAGCCCAGTGTGGTCTTGCAGCTTTCACAGAAAATGTCAGCGACTGAATGGAGACCAGTGAGCAAGAGTCGTTGCTCAGCTGGACCGCAGCCCACATTAACCCTGCAGTCAAAGAAATTAAAAGGCACCGTCTTGCATTTCATCCTTATCACAAGTTGTATCCTATACTGTTCTGCCTCCAACTTGCAAGAAAGGGGGTGGGGATGTCCCAATCCTAAGACCTGTGCAAGTAATCATGCAGAAGGAAAGCAAAGTCTTTCAAACCATGCTGGTACTTTCTCGGGACACTTAATGTAAAGGTCTCCACAACCAAAACATTTTTGTGTTTGCATAAGAGAAACCAAAACACCACAATTGTTTCAGTTTACAGCTATTTACTTAGGATGCAGAAGAGTTGCAATTAAGTCTTTGCAACTGATCTTTAAAGAAAAGAAAATCCAAGCAGTTCAGCTATGAACCTGAAGATGGAGCAGGGAGAACTGAAGAGGGATTCTTAGTTCAGTCGCACAGCGACCTACAATGGCCAGGAGAAGTATCTACAGAACAGCAAACCTTACCCAGAACAAGAACACTGGGTAACTTCCATCCTGCAGTGACAACTATCCCAATACACTGGTGTCTAGGAAGAGAGGAAGCTCTGACAGCCATGTTAAATATTCCTCAAATCTTTAGATCTCTTCCTCATCTCTGGCATGGCATTCCATGCTCCAATAATTTAATGACTGCAGCAGAATCTGAACAGCAGTATGAAGAATAATCTTAAAGCCAGCTGTTCTGTCAGCTGAAATACAGAGTGTTCATCCTGCACTGAGCGTGGCAATATGAGATCTGTACATAGGAACTGCCAAATGTTTGAACTTCTTGGAAGCTTTCTATAAAGCTGTATGTGGTCTCCCAAGTTAGTTGTAGATGATGGAGCTGGGTAGGAATAGAGGCCACTCCAGCTAGATGGGGGCCTAGAAACAATGATGGATTTAGAATAATACAGGAACTATAGTTTCTGGCAGATACAGATGGATCCCTTAAATTTATGATGCTTCTGCTCATTGTAGCAGACTCATATAAATAATACTAATGCCCTCCTGGAATGAGAAAATGGATCAAGTCTTGGTAAGATACACATTGCAAAGTAAGTTAAATTCTCTTGAAATGTGGAACCAGTAACATCTGAGGGATGTTCTAAAGTAATAAAGATCTTGTCCTTTACTCCAGTTTGGTCTCCATCAGTTACTTTAGGTTTTCAAATAAACTGTCCCTCCATTGAAGTGAAAGGTACCATAACTACATTTCTTCCTCTTCCCTTGCCCTGCTTTATACAAAACAATGCTCCAGTTTCACACTCATCTGAAAAGCAGAGAAGAGCAGGAATGAGGTGCTCTATACCAATTCTTTGGCTAAGCAGTTCATGTTTGTCCAGGTAAGGGCTAAAACAGGAGGATCACACTGGAGAGGAATAGTGACACAAAAGTCTAATTATCACTTGCTTAGAGAATGTACTAGCAGGCATTGAACAATAGCTAATCTGCAATGTCCATAGGAACTGCCCACACATCATAAAATACAGGATGTTTTGTCACTTCCTACAGAACTAGTCAATGGAATCCTTGCTTTCACGGTCCCATGCATTTCTACCACTGGAGAAACGGCCCAAAAAAAAAAAATCATTCCAAAACAACAGTTTGCTTGGCTGGGTTCAACAACCATGACAGAGAAATGCAAAATCTCCATGACTCGGTCTGATTGACTCGGTCTTTTCCCTGCCAAAGGCCAATCAGAATTGAAGAGAAGGAAAGAGATGCACTTTTCTTCAGTGCCAAAAGCATGGCACATTGTACAGCAACTGGGAAGCCTTGTGCACTATAAGTTGTATTTGTATGAATTATAACAACAACAACAACAACAACACAGCATAGTAAGCCTGAAGAATGATCAGGAATGCTCTGATCCCTTTCTGTCTATCAAGGCAGGATTAATCATACACCAACCTTTGCAGATGCATTCAGTATTAAAAATGGCCTTTGCAAAGAGCAGAGGGATGAATGGCAAATGGTAAATAGGGAAATATTTCATAGATACTATGATTAATCTCTAAGTCAGGGGGAGAAGAATTCTCACCAGCAATTTGGAATCAAGGTAGATCATGCTTGAAGGTCAAGAGTATATCATCCTCTGTGTGGTTGAGCTAGCAGCCAAGAGAGAGAACCATGTCAACGCAGGCCAACTTGTCGGGAGTTCCATTACAAGGCCTGGCAGTGCTACCAGTGAGTTCAACAGGATGATGAGGCAGAGACCAGAACTGAGTTAAGGAATGGCACTGATGAGACTCCAGGACCAAAGGCCATACAAGATTTAATTTCTGAGAAGAGAATTGCTTAGTTGCGAAGCGCCTCGAAATCATGCCTACTGAGTCTGATGCCCGCATCCTTAGCACTGGGGAGCCTGGTCGTGGTGCTGAACTAAACCTGCTGTAGCTGTACAGAGGTGTACTTGTTTCATTCTTGCCTATGTATGGGCTTAGTTCCAGCTGAGCCCTGATTATAACAATGCTTGGGGACTATGTGATGCTGACTGAGGATCTGATGAATATATGCTTCCATAGATATTCTTTGCCAGGGAAATACTCAGATATGGCCCTAACCTCATTTGAACCGCCCCAACAAAATTGCTTTTGGAATAGGTCACCCTCGCTACATCCCATTGCAGGATGTAACAGTAGCTCTCTGCTTTTGGAAACAAAACCATATCTTTGCCTTCCGCTGCTCTTGCACTCTCCCCACATTATACCCCACCCCCACCAAATAAAACCAATTGCAGGAGGACACTCACACAGAATTGAAAAGATAGGCACGCCCATGACTTCCCTGGAAGGACTGTGGAGATAAAGTAGAGGAGTTACAACTCTCTCCCTTGAAAGTTGCTTTGACCACCCCCCTTCCCCAAACCCAACAGTTTTGCTTAAAAGTAGAACTCCCCCAACATGAAAAAGATCAGACTATTCTTAGACAGTCTGATAGTGCTGATAGGACACCCCAGTGGGATGCTGATGGAAGATGGCTCCCTCCTGGAGCCCTGGGTTGGCACTGCTGTGGGGAAATGCACAATGCCAGAGATCCAGTTTGGGCACAAAGAAACAAGAGCTCTCATTAGGCTTGTCATGACCCCAGGACATTACCTTGGAGATGAGCTCATCATGCTTAGCCAGGTGTGCCCGACAGTGGACACAGCTGTATGTCCGGTGGCACCGAGGCAGGTAACTGCGGAAGGTCTTGGTAGGGAGGCAGGCAGCAGGTGGTACTGGCTCACAGCTGGGCATGACAGGCTGGAGAGCAATGCCCTGTCGAGGTGGGGGAGCAGGTGCCGTGCAGCCCCCACACAGGCGGTCACAAGTGAAGCAGCGAAGCAGGTTGGCTAGAGCCGTGTTTCAGAAAAGTGAAGTTTGGGGGGGCTGCACTGCCAGGCCCCCCCCAGATGAGAAGCAGACTGAAAGGGGAGTCACCTACAGAGAGAGAAAGGGGCAAGCAGTGATCTGGCAGATGGAGCAACCATAGAACATTGGCTCCTTTCCCTTTTCTGCCATCTCCTATGGAAGGTAATCTACACTGCTTCTCCAGGGTGGAAGTCTTGCTGTATCCTGAAAAGTTAAGAAGGTGTAGTTAAAGTAGGCAGAGCAGTGAGTAGATTCATCAATCTGGAATAATTACCACTAGGTCTTTGTTTCATATTCACAGCCACAGCTGTGATTAAAATCCTCATCTGACCTCTAAAACTAACACTGAAAAGGTGTGTATGTGTATTTGGGGCCCACCTATGAAGCTCAAAAGGAAAACTGAGAGTTGAGAGGTCAGTAACTATTTTGTATTACAAGGATTGGGCTCTGCAGGATTCAAACCTCATGTGAAATAGGAACAGACTTATTTCACATGGTCCTTGTGCAACTGGGGAAACAAAAGAACTTTATTCAGATTTCTGTCCTGTGCAGTCCAAAAACACACTTGCTTTATGCTGTATGTTCTGCCTGTCCTTACAGTTTTCATAACCTGATAAACTATAAGTATGTTAAGAACGGTCATTGTTTTCACATGTATTTGCCCAACCCTATGCATATGCGCTTTGAAGTAAATCCCACTGAGTTCAGTGGGTTTTACTCCCTGTTGAGTTTGTGCAGTCTCGCAGTTTCTGCAGTTCTTGTGTCTGAATTAGAAGTAATACTCTCCTTAACTAAAATGCCTCTTTGACCTAGGAGCTACTCCTATCCAGTCTATCCCATTGCCATTTCAACAACATTCATAAGCTACTGTGCAGTGTATCACATAACCTGAGTGGCTATCATCACGTGTGAAAGCATGACTTGCCAAAGCCCACCAAGAAATTATCGAGTAGAGATTCAGCCCTGAATTCTTATCCTAAACCCAACTCTCTAGCGTGGTCTTCCCCAATCCAGATGTTCGAGAATCCAGAGAACTTCGAGAATTCCCGACGGTTGGCCACGTTGACTGGGGCTGATGGGAGATGAAGTCCAAAATATCTAGCGGTGCTAAATGTCTCGTGAGCAGTTGCTGGCAGTAGCCTCTGGAAATGCCCCCTTTCCTCTGTGCTTGCGCATAAATACACTACAGACCGCTCCGTTCTTGCGTCTGTGAGAGCCCCCTACAGGAGCCACGCTGTTACTTCTACCTTCATTCAAAGCCCCCACTCCCCTCGTTCTGTCAATGACTCCGAACCCCGCAAGCCCGCCTCCTGCCGGTAGGAAACAGGCATTACACCTTCCGAGCTGACTTTCGAAAGCTCCCCCCATCCCCACCTCCACCACCCCCAGCAGCCTCGTTTATTTGTCACGGCGGTGAGAGCATCCGCGTACCCAATTCCGTCCTGCGGCGAATCAAGCGCGGGGCCGCTCTCCGCGCAACTCCGGCTTCCAAAAGGCCCGGATTCTGTTCCATGCAGCGAGAATCATCTCAGCAACAACCCCCCCACACCCCGCACGCTGCATTACCTCGGTGTTCGCCCTCCCCCCCCCCCACGCCCCCGAAGGAGCGGAGGGGGATCAGGGAGAGCGATAAGGAGGGCGAGAAAAGAAGCGAAGTGGGAGGAGCCCCTGTGGCTGGGGACCCGGGCGCGTTAATCACCGCAGAGTCTGACTCACGTGGCTGCGTGCGCGGAAGGAAAATAAAGGCGGATTTGGCGTCGCGAAGTTCCCATTGGGACTTGGCCATGGAGGGATGGCGGGGGAAGAAGGCAAGGCAGAAGAGAGGAAGGGAACGGGCAAAGGACGGAGCTGGACTGCACAGCCTTGCCTCTGCCCGGCGGGAGACGGCTCGGGGCCGAAGAGGATGGACTCGTCAAGCCAAGTGTCGCGGGAAGGGTGGACAGAGGGAAAGTTTCGGCGGCGGCGCCGGCTTTGCCCTCCGCGCTGCTCACCTTGAAGCCCGCTCCCAGGGGGCTCTCTCCGCCTCTGCCTGCTCGTGCCGGCGCTCTGCGAGGGGTCGCGCCAAGGGGAGCGCAGCTTCAGGGCAGCCAAAGGGCTGCTTTTGTGCTCCGTCTGTAGCCGAATGTGGCTGTGTGTTGTGGAACCGCATCATAACATTGTGAGTCATCCATCCCTCCTCCCTCCTCCTCCTCCTCCCGTTTCCCCCCTCCCCTCCTTCAGCCTCCCGCTACGTCAGAGCGGGGCCGGAGACACGGATCAAAGAAGGAGGGGATAAGCTAGGGCCACCAGGGCAAGGATGCTGCGGGGAGAGGGGGGCACGGCAGGGGAATGGGCACGGCGGGGTAGAAAGGCGGGGGTGAAAGAAGCGGCCGCTGAACATCGGGGAGGGCCGGCAGCGGCGCGCGGCCAGGGAGGCGACGAGGACGAGGGAGACGGGTGGGGAGGGGCAGAGACGCGCAGGTAATAAATCCCACGTTGCGCGCCTGTGGCAACTCTGACGCAGGGAGAGAGGAGAGCGACGCAGCTAAGGGTCACAGGCTGGAAATCTGCAAGATCACTCTCCAAGGTGCTCCTTCCGCCCCCCGAAACGTCCAGGCACTCGTCGAACTGCTCCCAGGCATCCCCAAACACTGTGCCCCGGCACCCCAGAATGTTAGACGGTCCTCAACCTTCAGTCGTCCACAAGCGTGTCATTGTTTTGTCAGGCTGGCAACCCCTAACGAACGCCTCATGGCATCCTCAGTGCCTTTCCCACGCCAAGATGAGCCTGGGACCAAAAACAGGCAATTAACAGAAGAGCAGCTTTTTTAATCTACAGTCTTGCCCCATTAAACCCAACAGGAGTTTGGTATTGATTTCTATAAGCATAGAGTTGCAGCCATTTGATCTGTTACTAAGCAGCAGAGAGACAAATTAGATCCTGCTGGTGCTGCTATAGAGAATATTGAGCACCGGCCTTCCTCGGTGAAAGCATGAACTACACCACCAATGCCGAAAGTACAGGATGGAGAGACGTCAAGCTCTCTCAAGTAAGCCATTAAATAGTACAGCTTTTGCTGCTTTAAAAAGAGAAACAAGTTTTTTGAATTGCCCAGAATTCTTCACCAAACATCTCCAAGCACTGATTTTTCATTTAAGTTTATTCCAAGGGCTTCCATCTTTTATGGGCATTATTCACTAGTGCTAGAACACCCCCATATGTTTTCTTATGAGAAGCTGGGATTAAAAGCCATGGCACTGGATATCAAGGTTGCTACAGGCTGATTTTCATGCAAGTAGGCCCTATATCTAACTGGTAGTAGATAGTAATAACCAGGAATTACAACATGCTCTGATCCCTTATACATCAGTTTCCAGGAGGATGTTGTTTTCCAGAATGACAAATTCCTCAGAATGATAGATGTCCTTCTCATTTTATATCCGAAGCATGTGCACATCTTTTTAGCCATGCTGAATCAAATTTTGTCTCCATTCTACAATTGTTGGTACATAGCCAGTAATCCACATTCAGAGAAACATAAATATGTTGGAAATTCTGCAAACATCAATATTGCAGTTAAATCAGAACACCTTTCTTGGGTGTGTCACTGACTCTTTCAACATTCTTGGTCAATCATGTTGGGCAAGGAAGTATCTGGAAGCTGTGTGCTGTTATTTTCCTCATATAAAAAGGAGATAATATCTCCCTCAATGGAGAGTGTCTAGAAGATTATTCAGTTCTATCCTGTCAGAGTACAGGTGTTGGCTCTTTCCCCCATCCATAATATTAGGACCTTGGGTCATTTAATAAGGCTGAATGATTTAGGATATCTCTGCCAGTGACAGAATCTTATCAAGCCCCAGGTGGAGCCAGGCTTGAGTCTGGCCTATGGGAACAGGCAGATGGATTTTGCAGTGGGGAGAATATAAAGCTTTGCTAGGTTAATTCTGGATTTTACTGGCTTATCAATGTAGTTTTACTGGTTGGGGTTCCTGATCAGGCAGGTTAGCTGGCCTGCTCTGGAGAGCTGCTGCCCATCAGTGGCAATACAGGGCCAGTGTAGATTTTAGGCCTGCCTCTCACTGTGCTATAACTACATGTAGACAGGTCATGGCTTATAAGGAGACAGTTGTGGTCTTGCTATTAACTGAGTAGACTAATAAATTACCATTTTTGAAGGAGAGGTTGCTAGTACATCTACCAATATTCTTAACAAATGGCTCAAAACTTTCTAGTGAACATGCTTGCTGATAAACATATTTCATTCTTGCAAATTATGTATGTTGTGGAAAAAGTCCTTTCTCATAGTTCTACAGCTCAGTCAGATAGTAAATTGAATGGGAAGAGATCAAAGGCAAATAAAAGGAGGGACTTCTTTACACAATACATAATCAAATTGTAGAGCTGGCTACATCAAGGTATAGGGATGGCCTCCAGTGTGGATGTCTTTAAAAGAGGATTATACAAATTCATGAAGGTTAAGGCTACGAGTGGCTACTAGTCATGATGGCTGTTTATTACCTTAGGATACCAGCTGCTGATGAACACAACTCAGAAGGAGTTACTGCATTCATGCCTTCCTTGTAGGCATTCTGTAGGCATCTGCTTGACAACTGTGGCTCTTAGGTTTAACCTGGACATAGAGCAAAATTAGCAGCAACAGTCACATAGCAAAGTTGCAATTATGAAAATATTATGCATGCTGTAATATTGTTTTCCATTTGGAATAGACATTTGCAAGGATGTGGATGAAAATCCAGAACAGGTCTTGCTAGGTGGCTTAGGAATAACTGTATGCATGTTTAGAAAGGAAAAAAAATCACACAATTCCAGCATTCCACATGGCTGGCTGGGGGGAATGGTGGGAGTTTTGTCTGTCTTAATATGCATAGATTTGCATCCTTAGTTGCACACTATATTCAGCTACCTCAGGGAAAGCCCTACTGATTTCAGTAGGACCTACATATGAGTAGATATGTATAGGATTTCGCAAGAGCAACTTCTCATTGCTTCTATAGTGCTGTTTAGCTTCTGGAGGGGAGGAGTAACCTCTATACTTCAGATTGGACAGCTGTTGGGACTTCTGCACCACAGCTGTTGAGTCATAACAGAGCAGCAAGCAGTAGGTGCAGTCTGCCTGAGCTCTGAGCCATTGGAAGCTTGTTAGCTGTAACCTTCAAGAAAGGTAGCTTGAAATATACAGTTCTGCCATATTTTCCCATTATTTCCTGCAAGTAACATGTATTATGCAGGGGAGCTGTATAGAGGTGAGGAATGGAAACCTGTTTTCCTTACGTAAAAATGCTGTTTTAGTTCTGGTTCCGTTGCCTCTACATATGCAATATAGTAAATGGTGTATTTTTCCAAGTAGTCAAATAAAAAAAGAACCTTGGGGCACCTTGAAGATTAAAAGACTTTTCCTTTGGCATCAGAGTAATCAAAGACTATGATATGTTATTTGCTGTCAACACACATCAAAATTAGCATCATATTATGATGAGACAGAATTGGGAATTGAAAATGACAGAGTAGATTCAGACCCCCGTCATGGAATCGATTTGGACATCTGCAGGATACAGCGATGCCTATTCCTATTTCAGAATTCCTGGAAGATTCAAGTACACGTACACCACTCTGTTTTGATCCACCAATATCGGTATATTTTGGATATGGCCATAAAAAGTTACATTTTTAACTGCTCAACAGATTCAGGTATCTAAGCGACAGCCATTCTGAAGGACCTGTGGCTGAAGCTGACGTATGAGACGGAAACAATCCTGCGCTACGGGGCTGGTCAAGAGCAGCACGTTTGTGTTGGAACTCTTTTTACTATTGGCTGGAGAAACGGGACTAGGCGTAGACCCGTTTACGGATTGCTGTTATAAAAATATATGTTTACAGATTGCTATAAAAAAAAATGGGCTGACCCAGCAGGTGTGATGTTTCTGATGATTGATTTTTTTTTTAGTTTCTTTTTTTAGTTTGTAGAAAATAATAATAAAAAGTTACTTTAAAAAAAGAGCAGCACGTTTGCCCCCTACTTTCGTGCTTCAGCGTTTAGTCGGATGAAGCCCTATTACAGTACACGAAGGTCACAAGCGCGCGCAGAAACTACATTGCCCAGGAGGCCGCGCGGCCAGCAACCATTTCCCCTCTCGCCTAGTGATTTGCATGCACGGGAGAACTACACTGCCCTCTAGTCCGTAACGCCGAGGCGCTCCTGAGGCGTGCGCACTCGGTGTCTCCTCACTTCCGGGGCAACGGACCCGATCTGAGTCCCGGGCGCGCGGATCTCTGTGGATTCAATAGGTGGGTGACTTTCTGTAGCTCCTCAAGGCCCTGGTTCCGTTCCCATGGAGACCGTCGCTCTCAGGCCGCGTCCTCTGCGCGGCGAAGAGGGAAGCCAGGTGACCTCGTGGCCTCTTCGCGGGGCATTCATGAGGGGGCATCATAGCGGTTGACCCTACCTTAGTCCCTTTCGGACGTACGCTTTTTATTAGTCACTGAAAAGCAAGCACAAGAGCAGGATTGATGGGATGGGGAAGGAAACTTCATTAGTGAAAAGGTATATTAGCCACTGTCAGCGCAATACAGATAGTGTTCTCCTACTAGATTAAATCTGGAGTGGTTTCAGACCTACATAAACAAAGTCAGTCACTTTCACCAGAGAGCCAGACCTGGCCATTCAAGGGAGAAACTAGTATAATGCCTATTTAAGTGTGTGTAGAGCATAGTAGGCTACAGCCATGAGGCTTGCTTGCAGTCTAGGTTGGGAAGTAAGGACTGCTCTGCTACCACCTGCGCTGCTTTCAGTCAAGTTTCTAACGTGGGATTTAAATAAAATGAAGCCTTAAAGCAGGATACTCTAGGCATAAATGCACAGTCGGACCATACAACCCCATGCTGTAAACTTTTTGCTTTCATGGTCTTTAAAATTCAGAGAATAGATTAATAAAGCTTAAACCAGTGTATATTATCCATATATGCTACAGAACATGGCAAATCTTAAAGCTCTTTAAACAGTGCAGAAATTTTCTACCCACTCTCCAACAGAGTCATCAGTTGCACTAGTTTTTCCCAATCTAGATCTCTCCAAATGTTTGCACTGTAAATTCTATTAGCCACAGTCAGTTTGGCTTATGGTTAGAAATTAGAGGATTGTAGTCCAAAGCATCTGGCAAAACCCAAGTGGGGAACCCTAATTTAAACTCTAAACATTAAAGTAAGACTTGACTTGTCCACCTATTTGAAGAATGTGTTTATTTTCCGGGAAAAATAAATATTAGGAGCTGGAAGAAATTCCAATACATTTGCATGCCTGCTAACCAAATTTCATGTTTTATTTTTAAAACATATAATTAAATTGTGTTTTGTACCTATAGAAGTTGCAAATAAACAAGATGGCAGAAGAAGCTGGGGATGATAAGAAACTGGTGGCCAAGTTTGAGCTGGAGAGGGAGACAGAACTTCGCTTTGAGGTTGAAGCCTCACAAACTGTCCAGCTAGAGCTTATGACAGGCATGGCTGAGATCTTTGGAACAGAGCTGACACGTAACAAGAAATTCACCTTTGATGCTGGTGCCAAAGTGGCTGTCTTCACCTGGCATGGCTGTTCAGTACAACTGACTGGTCGAACTGAAGTAGCCTATGTCTCTAAGGACACACCCATGTTGCTCTACCTCAACACCCATACAGCCCTGGAGCAGATGCGGTGGCAGGCTGAGCGTGAAGATGAACGGGGGCCTCGGGTTATGGTGGTGGGCCCCACAGATGTGGGCAAGTCAACTGTCTGCCGCCTGCTGCTGAATTATGCTGTGCGTCTAGGGCGCCGACCCACTTTTGTGGAGCTGGATGTAGGCCAGGGCTCAATCTCTATCCCAGGCACTATGGGAGCACTTTATATTGAACGACCTGCAGATGTTGAAGAAGGATTTTCAGTTCAGGCCCCTCTAGTCTATCACTTTGGCTCCACCACACCTGGCACTAACATCAAACTCTATAATAAGGTAAGTAGCATGTTTGGAGTAGTGTTTGTTTATGGTGATCCTATGTATACATCTTGGTCCCAGTACAAGACCTTCTGCAATCAGTGCAGAGCTCTAGGGCACCACTCAGTAGAATGATCAGAAGGTTCTCCAAACACAGTAGGGCTAACTTTTCACATGTTAAAATAAGTCCTATGAAATTTAGATGGGAAAAGGGCCTTAAAACTTCCAGCATGCCCCAGCCATGTTGCTTGCTGGACAGTTCTGAGAAATGTAGGACCTTCCTGTCTAAACAGGAATAGGATTTCTAAACTTCATTGACTAGGTATAGCTTCAAGTATCTTCATCAAATGGAGAATAGATAAGATGATTAAAAAATAAATCTCGTGCTTCTCTCTGATTGCTTGATACTAGGGACCAAACGGGAGATAATTATCACCATCGAGTTCCCATGAGATACATGGCTCGCCACAGACAAAGAAGCAGTCTAATTCTAGACAGCTATTTGGTCAGGGAAAATTATACTGAGGAGTTCCTTATACAGATATAGGTAGTACAAAAGAAGAAAGGTATCAAGTATATTTTGATTGGGTGATTACTTCCTCCTCTTTAATGTTGTGGGCTGATGAGTAGAAACTGTTTAGATAATTGTAGTCAGAAGGGGTATAAAAATTATTCTTACAGGATCTCTGGCACTGTATTGAAAGAGTAGATCTGAGCCAGGCAAGGATTCTTCCATAGCTTCTAATTAGTATTTTCTTATCATTAGTCCTGTTAATTTGGTTCAGCATGTAGCTGTATTTCAGCTCTGCTTAATTTGCATTTACAGGAGCTTAAGTCCCTTGATTTGAATGAGCGTAGAATTCTTCACTTTTTTGCCATTTCACTGGTAGCCTTCTGTGGCCTTAATGCCCTCCAAATATTTTAGACCATCAGATCTAGACAGCATGGCCAATGGTCAAGAATTCTGGAAACTGAAATCCAAAATGTACAGAGGGTATCTGGTTGGGGAAGGTTGTCACTATGAATGGTTTTTTACTGATCAAATGTGCTGTTCAAGATGAAACCTGCTCTCAGTGTTTTAAACTTAGAGTCAAGTCTACCTGGCTCCTTCATGAGTGATATTTTACTTGTCTTTGGCCTTATACATTTTGAATATTCTTTGTATCACTACTGCAGAAATCTCTCTTTCAGCCTGAAGTTTCTAAAATATGCCAACTTTCTACTTTGAAAAAAAAATCACTAATGCTGATTAAGATTAACCAATTTTATTTGAAATTTTAATGTATATATTTCCCCTCCTTTTTCTGAAATGTTTAAAGCAGCTTTTGAACTTTTCACATATAATCCTATGTAAGTTTACTTGCCTCACTGTTTACTTGCCTCACTGTGTTCCCTGGAGCATCCTCCCCAGTAAGCATGTTTAACACTGCAGCCTTAGTAACCCTGAACAGCAGTTCAGGTTGGATGCTAGTAACCTCCCCAAGGCTACCAAGTGAGCTGCATGTTTGAGTAAGGGTTTCAATCAGGGTTTCACAAAGATATATCAAACAAAAGTAGACAAATACTTCAAATTCTTGTACAAAGTTGACTTAAATTGGCAGCAATCATTTTGAAGTGCTCAGGTGCCAGGCTCCTCGAAATCTGCCCGACCTTATATCAGATTTTTGAGTCCACCCTGTAGAAGAATGAAATTAAATTTAAGTTTGCAGTTGGGTACTCATCTTTGTTTTATAAGGTCCTAGGTTCAGTCATCAGTTAAAAGGCTGTTGTATAGCAGGCTTCATCATTTCATACAACCACAACACAAATTAACTCTTAAAATGTATACAGGCATCTTGAGACAGTATTTGTAAAAGTTCTTGAGATTTCTTAGAAGACAACTTTTCCAAGGAGGTCAGCTGTGTAATGACACCTGTCCTTTAGCCTGTGAGTTTCTTGTTCATTATATTGGTATTGCTTCTTCCTCATTGCAGATCACATCTCGCTTGGCTGATGTATTTAACCAACGCTGTGAGGTGAACCGCCGGGCTTCAGTCAGTGGCTGTGTCATCAATACCTGTGGCTGGGTGAAGGGATCTGGCTACCAGGCACTTGTACATGCTGCCTCCGCCTTTGAAGTTGATGTTGTAGTAGTGCTGGACCAGGAGCGCCTCTACAATGAACTGAAGCGAGACCTGCCTCACTTTGTTCGGACGGTGCTGCTCCCTAAGTCAGGTGGAGTGGTGGAACGCTCCAAGGACTTCCGACGGGAATTTCGTGATGACCGCATACGTGAATACTTCTATGGCTTCCGTGGGTGCTTCTACCCACATGCCTTTGATGTCAAGTTCTCTGATGTCAAGATATACAAGGTGGGAGCACCCACAATCCCTGACTCATGTCTGCCTCTGGGCATGTCACAAGAAGACAACCAGCTCAAGCTGGTACCGGTTACACCTGGTCGTGATATGGTGCACCACTTGTTAAGTGTGAGTACAGCTGATGGTACGGATGAGAACATCTCTGAGACTAGTGTAGCTGGTTTTATTGTTGTCACTGCAGTGGATCTGGAACGTCAGGTGTTCACTGTGCTTTCACCAGCACCTCGTCCATTGCCCAAGAACTTTTTACTCATTATGGACATTCGTTTCATGGATCTCAAGTAGCACCAGCATATTTTTGCTTTCATATAAACAAAACCGTTACAGCCCTGTATGGAACATCATCATTCAAAATGGACAGGAAAGAACCCTGGAGACAGTTTGAGCCATTTAAAATAATCCTTTCAGTTTTCTCTCAGCCATTAGAAAGAACAACTGAAAGGGTGAAGCTAAGAGGATTCATGGATTTTAATGTGTGACTAGCCATAATGGGCAAACATGGTTACCTGCTAACATTGCTTTACATTGTTCTTTGGGTTCTCAGAGGCCCCAGTCTTTGAAACTGAAACACTTCTCTTCATTGTTCCATCTGAAAGTAGTCATGTTGTAGAGAGAGTGATTTTTTATATTATATTTTTTAAGATGTAATAAATTCTAAAATATGTATATTTTCATGCTTGTGCTTCTATCTTCAGAGGCTTGTTTATTTATTAGATTTACATCCCACCTTTTTTCTTACATATATTTCTCCTCCCGCTCTCAATTGTATCCCCACAATAACAAATCTGTGAGGTAGGATTGGCTGAGAGTCTGTGACTGGTCCAAAGACACCCAGTTGGCTCTGTGGCTGAGTGGGGACTAGAATCCATTTTGCCTAAGTCCCAGTCCTGTGATTTTAATGACTACATCATAGTTTTAATATGTAAAAGCCTGGTATGTGTGGCTCAGTGTAAGGCTGAGCAAAAGGAGACTGCTTTGTGTAATAAATGGAAATTCTGTACGTACAAGTTAATTCTTGCTATTTTTTGAAAGAACAAAGGAACTGGTTTGGAGGGGATTTGGCCCCTTCTCTGGGACTTGGAGGCATTCTCCAGATCTTGAATCCAGAGGAGAATAGACCTGTCTTCTTGATCTGCATGCAGACACTTCTGTCCTGGAAAGTTTGTTAAAAAAGATTTATTTTAATAAAGATTACAGTCAGTAACCATGGGGAAACTTACTGGGACCACCACAGGAAATGAACATTAAACTGATAATCTTGTGACTAACAAAGAAAGGAAGGGAATAAGAACCCCTTCCCCTAGAAACATTTGCTTGTTTGTTTTTATTAAAAAAATATACTGTTTGCTTAGCCAGAGGCTGTCCAAACTGTTTGCAACAAAAAAGGAAGACCAATACCAAAAACCAATGCAATCAAGTAAAATCACAATCGACTTAATAAAACAATAGTCAATCCCAGGCTATCCAACAGTGATTTAATACACAATGAAATGTAACTTTTCCTATCTAACAATTAAAATACAGGGAAAATGAAAAGATTTTAGCCTGGCACCGAAAAGCATATAAACTGGATGCCAGACCCAGCTCTCTGAAAAGTTGGTTCCATAATGGGGGCACCACACCTGATAAGGCCCTTCCCCTTGTAGTCACCTGCTTTACATCTTTTAAAGGTGGCTTGAGGAGGACCTCAGTGGATGATCTTATGTCCAGGTAGGTGTATACAGGAGGAAATGTTCCGTCAGATATTGAGGGAAATTTTACATCTAATCCAGATGAGGCAGTGACAATCCTGAACCAGTGCCTGGCCAGTGTGATGGGCTGGATGCGGGCCAATAAACTGAGAATTCAGAGAAGATGGAGGTTCTGTTGGTGGGTGGCTCCACTTTCCAAGTAAGTGATTTTTGCCCTGTTCTGGATGGGGTTGCATTCACCCTAAGGGACGGTGCATAGTTTGGGAATATTCTTTGACCCAGAGTTACCCTTGGTGTTCCAGGTGACTGTGGTGGCAAGGACCACTTTCCACCAGTTTTGGCTGGTCCATCAACTACGTCCTTACCTGGATGAGCAGAGTATAGCAATAATAACCCATGCTCTGGTAACCTCCCAAATGGAGAATTTATATGGGTCTACACGCTCTACATGGGTCTGCTCTTGAAGATACTTCATTTGGTCCAAAACAGAGCAGCCAGGCTTTTGGTAGGGACCGGTAGAGGTGATCACATAACACTGGTCCTGTACGATGTGGACTAGCTACCAATTGAAGTCTGGGCTCAGTTTAAGGGACTAACAATGACATATAAAGCCCTAAATGGTTTAGGGCCTGGGTATCTGAAGGAGCATCTCCTTCCGTATACCCCTGCCGAACCCCTAAGATCTCCATCAGAGGTCCTTCTTCAGGAGTCCTCTTTGAAGGAGATCAGAAGAGTGGCTACCCAGAGAAGGGCCTTTTCTGTGGTAGTGGCTCAGCTTTGGAACCTGCTCCCCAGAGAGGTGTGCCTGCCAGGCCCTGTCAATAGATGAGTGGCCTTGTTTTGTACCAATCGAAATATCAAACATATTATGAATTTTCAAACATGCATAATTCCATCAGACTTTGGCTGGATGCAATGTAACCCTAGAGATACATTAAATGGAAAGAGAATCTGAGTCTCTGAATGCTGGAATCACTGCAGTATCAGGCTCTACCAGTCTTCTCAGGCTCTCAGTTGGCAGCACTTCTTTGCTGGGACAACAGCTTCTGATGGGAAAATAGTCCTGTGGGGACTTCCTGCAGTGTGTTAGCTAAGATCCTGCCTTATCTTTTATGAAATAACCCAGAACAGACAGTACCACATTGCAGCCCACTCAGGGCCTGACACCTAGTCTGGACAATAAGCCATTGAAAGTACATTCTTGGAGAAAGCTGCTCCAAAGTAAGGTGAGTCTAGCTGTCATCTTTCACTTGAGCAGAAAAAGAAATTTTCTCTTTCTCTCAAATGGAGGGGATCAGTTAGCACACAGATGTCAAAAAGCTGTACTTTCCAGGGTGGCAACCTAGTAGCAAGAACCCTGCAAAACATTCTGTAGCTGTTTTGAAGGCTGCATCTCCTGAAGGCAACTCAGAGGAGATGGTGAACATTTTACATTGTTGGTAAAGTTGTGCACTAAGGACCAACTGGCTGGGAGCTGTTTCCCAGATAATGACTGAGGTGGTGGCCTCTGTAACTCAACTCAGTTGTGTCATAATGTCTCTGGAACCTGAAATACAAGTTAGGGCAATACTTTCTCTGAGCCAGTGACAAGTCATAGATACTTTCTGATCTAGTACCAACATTTGAAAAAGACAGTGTACCATGCTGATGGAGATGTCTTGGAACATGTATACTATATCCAGGCTGGGTATGATGATAAGAGTATAAATACACATAAAATATAACTATAAAATAGGACTGTTCTGCATACATCTAAGGAATGACTGTCTCGGCACTTTTAGCTGGGGGAGGACAAAAGAAATGGAGAATCAACTTTTTTGCCTATGAAGTACCAAACTGACCTTGGAATGAAACAGGAGTCTATTTAACTGAATGCTCCGTAACATGTGCTCCAAGTTTGGACACTTCCTGTAGCCAAGGCAACTGCTATGAAAGAAATCATTTTCAAGGTGAGGATCTTGAGTAATGTAGCTCCTAGTGTTTCAAAGGGGTTTCAAATTAACGTTTGGCCTCCAGGTAGCCATTTTATAAATTTGGGACAGCAGACAATAAGAGCAGTTGCCCTTGGGATGTGTTGGTGATCATCGAATAAGTTTCATTTGGGGTTGAACAGGATGCTTGACAGGACTGATACGTATCTGTCTAGTGACCACCCTGCTGGGTTAATAGATTCTTGACTGGGCCAATCCATTTATTTATTTAGAATATTTTTATACTGTTCATCAGCTCACTGAAATGGTTTACAATTTGAACACAGAGTTACTTTCACTTACTCTGCTTTGAAGGTATGTAGATGGGCCTGTGTCCAATAGAACAGAAAAATGACCTTTTAGAAGGGATTTCAACCACTTATACTGTGCACTGATAGGCTTGGCTGCTGTAGCATCCTCATTAGAATGTGTTGGTCCTGAAGGAGGGAGAAAAGAGGCAGAACCAGTCTGATTGTCTAGGGTTTCAGAAGGGTTATGGCTCTGAGATTCTCTGAACCAACATAACTGGAGTCCCTTGCACTGTGCTCCTAATTCAAACAGATTGGAATGCAATTCCTTGCCAATAATATCAAAGCTAGCTAGAAGGTGTAGAAGGGAAGGCTGCAGCAAATGCCACTCTCAAAGAGATACGTAGTTGGGTACCACAGTGGGTTGAGCCTCATATAATTAGGAGAGAAGCAGAGTCTCTATAGCACGGGTCCTCAGACTACGGCCCAGGGGCCGGATGCGGCCCACAATGCCCATTTAACCGGCCCGCCCCAAAGGTTTTGCCCTTGCTGCACGCGGGCATGCAGCTTGCTCGCACAGAGACCGGTCTGGACTCACTCGGACAAAACAACCTCTTCGCGAGTAAGCCAGCGCCTCACCATGTGTGCGCCTGGTGGTGGCTTGCTTGCGGGGAGATCATTCGGAGAAAACAAGCTCTGCCAGAGCAAGCGGCTGCCTCGCCCCCCGCCCCCACCTCACCGCACACGCCCCCCCCCACCCCTGCCTTGCCGCATGTGCGCACCCTGGCCCGCGCCCCTCCGCCGGCACCTTTTAACTGGCCCCGTTGGAAAAGTTTGAGGACCCCTGCTCTATAGCATCTGCCAGTAGTCTTGAGAAACTATCATGAAGAAATACCTTGCCCTGAGTTGCTTTTTCTTCAGGGCTCTCATCCTCTGAAAGTATGCCATCTTCCTGGAACATGAGAGGAGACATAACACAACACTACAGTAAATATCGGTGATTACAGGATGTTGGCATGACAATCAGAAAGGCACATGAATCATTACAAGCCTTGGGTGTGAGTTTGAACTTCTAAGCAAGTCTGATTACAACATGACAAGAAAAATCAGTCAGAACAGGTTTGCCACGGCTAGCAGAAGAATTAACATCCAGTAGCTTTCCTTGGGAGCCACATTCCGCAGAGGATAAACTTAGCTAGTAAATGAAGCAGCCGCCTAAGGCAAGTGGAGAGTCTCAGTCTCTTAAAGGAACAGATGAGTAATAATGCTTCAGGGAATAAAAAAGAAGCCTGGCTTGGAATTCTGTTTGTTTCTGGGCAAGGGGAGCAGGGACACTGCAGGTTTGTTTTATATCACAAAGACACATATAAGCAACCTTTCTCTATAAAGATTTATTTGGATTTTCCCAACAGCATACAGGGAATAAGAAGAAACATGGTATTGGACACAAAGCCACAGAGAAAAGATGCACAGGGAGGCAGAATAGTGACAGAAGTGAAGCCAAGACCTGCACTGAAAGCTACTCAACTTCCTTTTCCAAATAGTGAACCAAAATTTGAAATTTCCCTCTTGAAACTGAACTCAAATAGAATTCTGCCTGCATCTGCTGCCCTGCAAAAAGGGTCCCACACACAAGTTAGAATTTTAAAAAGGGATGCAGTGGCCTCAATTAAAATGAAACCTGAATACACAAAAAACAGTATGGGAGAGGATTTTCATACAGGGTTTATCCAAGCTGTTGTGTTCCCTCCCAAGGCTGGGAAACAGCAGGCAAGAGGAAGGCCTGCTGCTTAAAGTCAGCAATTCATTCTCCAGCAGACAGTGAAGATAAACATCCTGGTGGAGGAAGGGGAAGAAGGCAACTCTTCCGTGCGCTGCGGGGTGCTTTCCCCCATGCGGTAGTTCTCAGCCAGTAGTTGTCAGCTGTAGTGGGAATCATTTTTCTTTCTTTTGCGTTTTGATCGAAGGGTCAGCATTTACATAATTGTTTGTTAAATGCTGGGTTGCCTGACAGTCTGCATCTCTGGTAATTAGGGCTGCAGAAATGTTCTGCAGCCTCCAGGCTCTGGGGGGTATGTCATTTCAAGGCAGAGAGAATTAAGC